AGAAAATGGACCAAGAATTGCTAAGTAGAAAGGGTCAATAAAGGGTAAAGAACCAAATGAATAGTGTTTTATTGTGAATTGTGAGAAGGGATGGATATAGAGGGTTCAGGGCAAAGTGTAGGATTATGAGAATTATTGTGAGCAAAAGGAATTGGGCAAGAAGATATGAAGAAGCTGCTGTGGATTTTGAAATGGATCTCTTTATTTTCTTTGAGAGTCTTAATATATTACAGTTGAAATTGCTTTTAACTTCTTTTTTTTTTTTTTTTTTTTTTTGAGGTTAGACTTGTTACTTACATGTGATGCCATTCCAGCACTGGGCTCATGGAGGCTGAACATTTATTCAGGTAATAATAGGTAACATTTACAGAGCACTTTTTTTATGTACCAGGCAACAAACTAAGTGCTTTACCCATAATCTCATTTAATCCTCACACAACCTCATTAGGTTGGGAGTGTTTTTGTACACATTTAATAGATGAAGAAATTGAGACTCGGGGAGTCTATCAAGATTGAATTCAGCTGAATTAAAAAATGAAAAAAGGCTACTGCTATAGTCAAAGTGAGAGATGATGGTAGCTTGGTGTAGATGATGTCATTCCTCACCTCGCATAAATATCATGAATGTGAAATTGTTTTGATTGGCTGAACTTCATCCTCATTTCCATAACTTTTTCTCATTGGTGAATACATCATACTCTTTGTCTTTAAAACAATGGACATTTGATAAAGGAAAATTCAGCTTAGGGTTTTTAACCTTAAAGCTTTTTAAAATTTTTAGAAAGTAGAATGTTTAGAAATCGTTCAAAAATTTTTGAGTAAATATCTATAAAAGGTAAGTATCTATAATTGGGGAATTCTTAAGAGGTGATTAATATTGGGTAGGGGGTATAGCTCAGTGGTAGAGTGCGTGTTTGGCATGCATGGGGTCCTGGGTTCAATCCCTAGTACCTCTGTTAAAATTTTTTTTAATTAAAAATAAAAGAGGTGATTAATATAGGTAATAGGAATCTTTGTTGAATTCATCACACTTGAGATACTATTCAGTTTTCAAGTTTAAGGAACCTTACTAGGGTTTCTTGTAGGAGCTTTCTAAATGCTTGTTTACAGATCACATTTATTATACTTGTCAGAGCTGGCAGGGTTTCTGGCACTGCCAGCTGAAGATCAGTCAAAAATGAAGATTGAGCATTTCTGAAATTATAATATATGTTAATGGAAGTATTTTTAAGTTTACAAAAATTCAAATTTATATGCTACTTTAAGTGGTTCTCTGTGTTTAATTTTGCCAAGAGTTGTCTGCACACTCAGCAAGGTAAAGTAGAACTGCGTTACTACTATCTTATCAATTATTTAGTGGCCAACGTGAGTACATTGCCCTAATACATTTTTCAAGGAAGAACTTAATTGAGGCTTTTAATAATTGACATATAGTAAACTGTACATACTAAAATGTATGATTTGTTAAATTTTGACATATGTGTTCACCATGAACTATCACCACAATCAAGATAATGAACGTATTTATCACCCCAACAAGTTTCCTTTTCCCCATTTGTAATCCTTCTTCCAACTTCTGTGGTCTACAGGCCACCACTGGTCTATTTTCTGTCACTATAGACTAGTTTGCATTGTCCAGAATTCTATATAAATGTAATCATAAATCATATACTCTCATACTTATTTATTTTGGTTTGGCTTTTTAATTAAGCATAATTTTTTGAGATTCATCTATGTTGTTGCATGTACCAATAATTCATTCCTTTTTATTGCTGAGTAGTGATCCATTGTATAGCTTTAACAATTTGTTTATCCATTTACTTACTGATGGACATTTGGGTTGTTTCCAGTTTTCGACAATTACGAATAAAACTATGCTGTGTATATTTGTATACAAATCTTTGTATAGTCATATACTTCTTTCCCACTCCAAGTTAATTTTTTCTCTTTATTTTTTGAGGTAAATTGACATAATACACAATTAACAATTTTCAAGTGTACAAGTCATTGGTATTTAGTTTGTTTACAATGTTCTGCAACCATTATCACTTTCTAGTTTCAAAACTTTTCCATTGTTCTATAACCACCCCATACCCATTAACTAATCACTCCCCATTCCCTTCTCCCCCATCCCTTGGTAACTTCTAATCTGCTTTCTGTCTCTGTGAATTTGCCTAGTATAGGTATATATTATAAAAGGAATCAGACAATATGTGACCTTTTATGGCCAGCTTCTTTCATTTAGTATAACTTTTTTCAAGATTCATCCAGGCTGTAACATGAATAAGTACTTTGTTTTTTATTATGACTGAATAATATTCTGTTGTGTGGATATATCATATTTCATTTATCCATCAGTTGGTGGACTTTTTAGGTTTTCACTTTCTGGGGTTACTATGAATAATGCTGCTATGAAAATTCATGTACAAGTTTTTATGTGGAAATATGTTTTCATTTCTCTTGGGTGTATACCCAGAAGTATAATTGCTGGATCATATGGTAACACTATGTTTAACTTTTTGAGGAACCGCTTTCAAAGTGGTTGCACTATTTTATACTCCTACCAACAATGTGTGAGGGTCCCAATTTATCTATTGTTATCAAACTTCTTGTTATCTGTCTTTTTAAGTCTAGCCATCCTGATGGTGACCTGGGTTCTTGGACTTTGTAATAATAAAAATTGATAAGAGGCCAGACAAGAAATTCATGCAAGCTTACTGGGACTTGTGCTGCAGTAGGAGGGAGTGAGAACAAGTAACAGTTTCCCTTGCTTGCTCCTGAGGGCTTAGGTGGTCAGCCCGCCCCCTTGGTGGGGCTGTGTTCAGGGATCATGCGCTGTACCCTGCTTTTGCTCCCAACACCTCAGAAGTGGCAGTTGGGTTTTTGGTCTTTTTGTGTCTTGTGCATAATTTGCCCCTGCTGCCCATGCATGCAGTTATTTTTAGTCCCTTATAATTTCTTTTTATTCTGTTGCTCAAGATGTTTGTTCAGGTGCAGGCACTGCAGCAAAGGGGCCCAGGTTCCAGCCTGTCTCTATCCTAGTGGATGTGAAGCAGTATCTCATCATGTTTTGATTTGCATTTTCCTGATGACTAGTGATGTTGGAGCATCTTTTCATGTACACGTTGGATGCTTATATATCTTTTTGGGGAAATGTATATTTAAATCCTTTGCCTTTTAAATAATTGGATAACTTATTTTTTTATTATTGATTTCTAAGAGTTCTGAGTACAAGTTCCTTATCAGATGTATGATTTGCAAATATTTTTTTCATGGGTTTTTCACTTTCTTGATGGTTTTGCCTACAGACAAAAGTTTTAAGTTTAATTAAGTCCACTTAATCTATTTTTCCTTTTGTTGCTTATACTTTTAGTGTTGTGGCTAAGAAGGTTTTGAATAACCCGAGGTCACAGAGATTATTCCGATGTTTTCTTTTAAGAGTTTTATAGTTTCAGTTCTTATATATAGATCTATGATCCTCTTTGAGTTAATTTTTTATATGGTGTGAGGTATGGTTTTATGTGTAGCTATGCATTTGTTCCAGCACCAGTTGTTGAAATGACTCTCCTTAGCCTATTTGATTGTCTTGGCACCCTTGTCAAAAAATCAGCTGACCATAAAGGTAAGGGCTTTCAATTATATTCCACTACAATACTGTTTTGATTACTGTAGCTTTGTGTACTTAGTTGAACTTGGGAAATGTGATTCCTCCAATTTTGTTGTTCTTTTTCAGGATTATGGTGTTTATTCTAGGTTCCTTCCATTTCCATGTGAATTATAGGATCAATTTATTAGTTTCTGCAAAAAAAAGCCAGCTAGGATTTTGATAGGGATAGCTTTGAATCTGTAGATCAGTTTTGGGAGTGTAACCATCTTAGCAATATTAAGTGTTCGAATTCATGCACATAAGATATCTTTATCCTTATTTAGATATTCTTTAATTTTTATCAATAATTGTTTATAATTTTCAATATACAAGTTACACTTTTAAAAAATCCTACCCTGTTGCACTTCTTTTGTTAAATTTATACAGAAGTATTATTTTTGTTACTATTGTAAAATTTTTTTCCTCTTAAGTTCACTTTTGGATTGTTCATTGCTTGTGTATAGAAATATAATCTTTTTTTGTATATTGACTTTGTATCTTGCAGACTTGCTGAACTTGTATATTAGTGGATTCCTTAGGATTTTCTAGATACAAGATCATGCCATCTGCAAATAGAGATAGTTTTACTTCTTCTTTTCCAATCTGGATGCCTTTTGTTTCTTCTTACTGCCTCATTGCTCTAGCGAGAACCTCCAGTGCAAAAGTGGATCTTTTTTTTAAAATGTTTTTTAAAAATTTACTATTTTTTTAACATTTGCTGAGCCCTGCTCTACTTTATTTTATTTTTTAATTTTTTGGAGGGGGGAGGTAATTAGGTTTGTTTATTTAATTATTTTTTTAATGGAGGTACTAGGGATTGAACCTCATGCATGCTAAGCATGCATTCTATCCAAAAGTGGATCTGTCTTGTTTCTGAGTGTAGAGTGAATACATTCAGTCTTCCACCATTTAGTAGGATGTTATTTATGGGATTTTGCAGGTTCCCTCTATGAAACTGAGTTATTTCCTTAGTGATTGTTTTGGGGGTCACAATTAACATCTAATTTTTTAACAATGTAGCTTGATTAATACCAACTCAATTACAATAGTACACAAACATTTGTGCCTATATAGCTCTGTTCCCTCTTTCTCTTGTGCTATTACATGCAAATTATGTCTTTTTACTTTGTGTACCTATCAGCACAAATTTATAATCATAGATTTATTTGGTTGTCTTTTAAATAAGATAGACAGAAAGTTACAAACAAAAAACTTATAGTGTCTTTTACATTTACGTAGGTAGTTACCTTTATCAGTACTTTTAATTTTTTCATTTGAATTTGAGATACTGCCTAGAGTCTTTTTATTTCAGCCTGAGTGGCTGTCTTTAGTATTTCTTGTAGACTAGTTCTGCTAGTTATGAGTTCTTTCACTTTTATCTATGAATGCCTTAATTTCTCCTTTGTTTTTGAAAGATAGTTTTGCTAAATGTAGGATTTTTGGTTGACAGTCTTTTTCTTTCAGCACTTGATGTATTTTCCCATTGCCTTCTGACCTCCATGGTTTCTGATGAGCCTCTTGAATTTGTAGATTTAGTTTTTTTAATCACACTTGAGAAAAATTTAGCCATTATTTTATTAAATATTCTTTCTTTCCCTTTCTCTCCTGTCATGGGACCCCCCAATAGGAATTTATTATGCTCTGTTCTGAGGCTTTGCTCATTATTTTTCATTCTTTTTTCTTTTTGTTCCTCAGACAGAT